CGAGTATTGGGGAGAAGCTGACGGATGATGAGGTGGATGAGATGATACGGGAGGCGGATCAGGATGGGGATGGGAGGATTGATTGTGAGTTGCTTGATATTGTTGAGTGGTGTGAGGGGTGGTGTGCTGACTTGTGGTGTGCAGACAATGAGTTTGTGCAGTTGATGATGCAGAAGTAAGTTTGGGGTGTGGAGGGGTCTTGTCTGGAGCTGCCTGCTTCGGCATGAGTAAGGAGATGACCGGCATGATCGATGATTGCGAGCATGATAGCAGGCGCACGCGATGTGCTTGTTGATCGAACGAGCTTATTGGTCGAACGACGTTTGCCTTGCACTTGATAAGCGCTAGCAAAGCGAAGTACTCGGTTTCGATTTCTCCTAGGTTGTCCAACATGACGAACGACCTTGCCTCCAATCTCACTTTGCCAACGTTCTTCGAAAGTAATGTTCCACATGTCTCCTACATCTTCAGTGCTACTCCCCACCACTCAGCCAATCTTCCTGCTCCAATGCGTACGGTACACGACAGAGTACCAGCTGCCGCGCTGGTTACAGCTGATTCGGCACGCGAGTAATAGACAAAGCGGCTCACTCAGCGACTCACCTCTAGGAGAAGGCCGGTATTTACAGCACCGCGATAGTAGATATGTACTTGAGCTATCGGCGAAAGCGGCATCTACTCGAGCAGCTCCGTCAAGCAGCTTGAGCAGCAAGTGATTATCACAGTGCCGTGTATACGGGCGGTGTCGACTACTTCTGCCTTTCGAGTGGTCCGCTTCTTGTCTGGTTCACGTGCTCGGGCACAGTGGTGCGAGCACGTGACCTGTCCATTTTGGGAAGGAATCCCCCACGCAACTTCCGAATTTCGATAATCTTCTGACGGTAAGTACTATTATTTCTCAAGTGCCTTCACCACAGCCCGGCTAGCTCAATCGGTAGAGCGTGAGACTCTTAGCATCACTGCCGCGATCTCAAGGTCGCGGGTTCGACCCCCGCGTTGGGCTCACTCAACGCTATCGTCATAGGCGATAATGAAGACCTTCCTTTTGTATATTTGGCTTATATAATCTGACGCAGGAAGGAGCGTACCAGTCTCAACGCAGGAGAGGTTTTGAGCAAGTGCGGGGCTTGGCGACAGCTACAGCCATCGGCCTCCCTCCACTCTGTCGATCTTCGCGCTGACCCACGAAGGACTCGCCTTGCAAGCCTTATAAGTGTTCCTTGCTCGTCAGACCTCTCCCGACAATTTCTCCCGGGGCTCGCTCGACGCTGTTATCTCAGGATATGATCAGACTATTCTATTGCACTGTGCCTGTCCTTTTTCCCAACGACATGGCGATGGGAGCTCATGTCTTCTCCGCTGATATGGCAGGCTAACCAAGGATCTCCACTTGCGTCTACCGCTTCGTGTGCTACCGATGCTCACGTCAACAAGACCGCTGACGCGTCCAACACCATGCCGAGGTGGTGGACAGATCACATGTGGCAATTGCGAGTTGTCGCACCCAGGTTTGAAGGATGGACGTTATCCTCTGTGATCCTTCAGTGATCCTCAGCTCGGCGGGAAGGCTTATTTCCACGACCAGGGCCACGTGCAGTGCCTGCTTCTAGCAAACGGCCCTCGCGAGCGGCTGACAAACGCACGATGGGCTTGCCCGGAATCCTGGGGCACAAGCGAGCCCTTCGACCTCTGAATCGCGCAAATACAGCATCTCAACCACGCATAGCTTGTGTAGCAGCCGGGGTCGGGGCTTACGCGAACGATAAACGAAGCGAACCACTCAAGAACACCACGCGAGCGACACTGCTAGTGTATACCACACTGCGATGACGGAATTGCAATTAGTGCTGCCCACAGCAGGAGACCTCCCGAAGGAGACAGCAACCAACGTTACACACTAACAGGATATCGCGGCACTGCACATATCAGCATCCTCCAGCACGGCGAGTCGCTGAGTGGTTCGCTTCCTCTGCCATTCGCGTGGGGCTGAACGAAACCCAGCATTCGCATTCGGGCCCCGGCGCGTGCCGAATGCCATATACTGGCTAATGGTAATTTGCAACCAATGCACGCCACATATTTGGATATACAACTGCCCATGTTGGTGTTAGTGTGCCCGAGTTGGCCTTCAGGTCTGTATCCGAGTTCTCTGTACCGGTGTTCCTGCGATATCTTTCCCTGCTTCCCTCCTCTCTTCTGTCAATTTGCGCTTTCTCGTACGTCCAGTCGATTGGAGCTATTGAACCCGGCATCATCATGGCTACAAGGAGCATCTGGACCGCTGCACGCATACTCCTCGCTGTTTACACGCTGGTCATCAAAATCGCCTGGAATCTCTTTCGAGCACTTCCGATGAGCTTTCTGGCTTCCCAGCAACACAACAGACGACCATCACGCATCGGCAAGCCCCTCCACACCATTCGTGACTCCTACGACGCCGTTGTCATTGGCTCAGGCTATGGCGGCGGTGTTGCCGCCAGCAGGATGGCGCGGGCTGAGCCAAAACAAAGTATTTGCGTGCTCGAGCGTGGTCTCGAGCGATGGCCTGGCGAGTATCCTAGTAGTACTTTCTCGGTGCTACGAAACTTGTGTACTATGGGACAGATCGACTTCGCGTGGTTCAAAGGGATCGCCATCCGGCTTGGTGATCCGACGGGACTGTATCGTTGGTTCTGTGCTGGGTCTTCAAACGTCTTCGTTGGTAATGGTGGGTGATACGTGCGAGAGTCGCAACATGCGGGATGGAGGCTCACTGACGAGCAGGTCTGGGTGGGACGAGCCTGATCAACGCGAATGTGTACCTACGCCCACGACCTGAGACGTTCACGTCGCCTGCGTGGCCAGCCAAGTTGCGTCAGCCTGGCGAGCTTGATAGATGTACGTGCTTCCTCGCAGTTTCATATTATATCCACTGACGAACGACAGACTTCGATCGTGCAGAACGCATGCTCGAGCCACAGGGCTATCCCAAGAGCCGCGAGGCAATCCGCAAGTATTCGGTCTTCAAGGAACAGGCTCACTTAGCAGGCCTGGGCAATCGCTTCGTGTCTGCGAAGCAGACCGTTGCCTTTGAGAACAGGATCAACGCTGCAGGCATGCATCTGCGAGCTAGCAGTCTCAGTGGTCAGGACAGTACTGGACTAAACGATGGTAGCAAGAATACTGTACTTGCTACTTACTTGGCCGATGCGTGGTGCTTCGGTGCAGAGATGTATGACTATGGAGACTCAGCCATCAACACCACGCTGATATGCGACATAGATACTGCGGCTGCGACGTGCGATACGTCAAGAAGCATCCCAAGACTGGCTGGCTGATCTACTATCGACGAACTGAGTCCGTGAAATCCTGGCCATGGTCACGAGGATCTCCTGAAAGCCTTCATTGGGTCCATGCAAAGAAGCTCGTTTTCCTCGGCGCTGGCTCACTGGGCTCCACAGAGATCGTCCTGCGCAGTAAGTCACAGGGTCTACCAGTCAGTCCGATGGTGGGTAAAGGTTTGAGTGGTAACGGTGGCTTCTTGGGCTTTGGTTACGGCCTAAAGCGGAGGGTGGATGCTATTGGGCAGCGAGCACTGAAGCGCAACCCACCTGGACCGACCATAAGCGGCATGATAGACTGCAGAACTAGCGAGAACTACGAGGAAGACTTCATCATACAGGACGGCGCATTTCCTCGCGTCATGTCTGGCTTCTTCCGCCTCGTGAAGCCCTTCTTGCGCAGCGCGTATCCGCCACGGCAAAGTACACTTCGCAAACTCAGACGGTTCGTCGACATCTTGAATCCAATGTCATCAGCGATGCAACGAAGCCAGGTCTACCTCGTGCAAAGCCATGACAACGCAACAGGATCCATGACGCTACAAAACGATACTGCTGTGCTCAACGTGTCAAACATCGGTCGCAAGGCCAATCTCGCCCGGATCAAAACTCTTCTGATTAAGATAACGCATGCTCTCGACGGCGTCTTCATGGAGCAGGGCTTCAAAGTCATAGTACACCTCCTCGGTGGCCTTGGGATGGCGGGCGATGGCTCAGGCCGCACAGGCTCCACGACTCACACTGGCGAGCTATTCACGGGTGCTGGCTCTGAAACACACGCTGGACTGTATGTCGTTGATGGTGCTGTGGTGCCTAGATCACTGGGCGCGAATCCGTTCGCGACGATCACGGCGCTGGCGGAACGGAGTGTTGAGGCTGCGGCACTAAGGCTTGGTTGTGCGATTGATCTGGATTCGAGGGCGGACTTCGAGAGGACCTTGGGAAGGTATTGCGATGTATTGCCCACCGAATTGCCGTTCTTCGAAACCATGACAGGCGACATCTACGTGTCCGGCACTCGGTCACAGATCACTCTGAACGCCTCCATCGTCGTTCAGCAATCGGCTGATGTCTTCGAGGGTACGATATACGGCACTCTCGAGTGCGATGGCATCTCGCAGGAACAGCTCGTGATCAAGGAAGGTAGCTTCAGACCCTTCGTTGTGGACAGTTTGGGCCCCGATCAGATGGTAATGGCATACGACTTCACTGCCCTTGATGGCAATGGCAATGCATACGAGTTTCGGTGTCGGAAGGTCTTCAACCCCTCCGTAGGAATGTCTGTACGCAAGCTCTGGCATGCATCTACCACAATGACAGTCGATATCACCACTCTAAAAGGAGGTCTGTATGCACGTGGCGAGCTTCATATCGATCTCCCTGGGGTCTTGGACATGGTGTCCTCGATGAGTGCGACCGGACGTAGCCATGCGGAACGCTGGTGGATGATGATGAAGTTCCTGTCTCTCTTCGTACGGAAACTGTCACTGGCGTTCTTTCCACGACTGGCACCTCTCCGGTACCCTCTTGAGCCACAATGCAATGGTGCTCCATCGACAGAACACCGAAGTGACGGAGATGCAGTGCACACCATCACAGCTTCCGATGGTGTCACTTCAACCCTTCGAATGTGGAACCCCACAAGCAATGCCCCGACCAATTCGCTACAGGACATCATCTTCATACCTGGGAGCGCAGTCAACCATCTCATCTTCGCTTCACCGTACATGACGGAGAACGCCATCAGCTACTTCACCAGCAAGGGTTACCGCTGCTGGTGTTTGACAACACGCTTCGGTCAAGCCGAGGGCAATGCCACGAAGCTCGAGTGTACGAGCTACAGCGCACGTCTCGATATAGCGGCGGCGCTGATAGAGCATCGGCGGCTGGCCGGTCCAACAGCTCCACGGCCGTACGTAGTGGCGCACTGCGTCGGCTCACTCGCGCTCGCTAGTGGTCTGCTCGATGGGACGATCCCTGCGTCCTGGCTTGCAGGCGTCACTGCGTCGGCGACCTTCTTTACACCCTGTCTAGGTTCACTGAGCACGTGGAAAGCACGGCTTCCGCTGATCAGTCTGTATCGCCTCATCACAGGCGAGGACTGGTATGCGTGCGAATCCCCAGCAGATGCCAGGTGGATCCAGCGACTGCTAGATAACGTCCTTCGCTTCTATCCGCACGCCTCACCTCGCGAGGTCTGCAGTTCAAACGTCTGCCATCGCTGCAACCTCGTCTTCGGTAGACTCTGGAACCACGCGAATCTCAACGAAGCGACGCACTCCCACCTCGAAGAGATCTTCGGCGGCATACACACTACTTGCCTACAGCTACTCGCGGACATGGGTCGCAAGCAAGTTGTCACGGACGACCGCGGGTACTCGCTTGTGACGGAGAAGAATCTAGCCAGGCTAGCTGAGCTACCTGTGCTGCTGCTTTCGGGATCGGAGAACGTTGTGTATCCTCCGGTGAATACGAGGAATACTTGGGAGATGCTACGAGAACGTATTGGGGATGAGATGGTGAGGAGGAGGGTGATCGAAGGTGTTGGACATTTGGATCTGTGGATCAGTGAGAAAGCTGCTAAGGAGGGAGGGGCATTCGAAGTCGTGCTCGAGGAGATCCGGCGGGTGACTGAGGGGCCGGAGCAGTAGCGCAGGTCATGAACAGCCTTATCAGCTGAA